TTTACATTTAAACAAGTATAATTCCAAAGCCATCTGTTTTTAGCTGTGGGATTTGTCAACTTCTAGGAGTTGATCTGCTGAAGAGCAGACGTGATTTAACCTCTGGGGAAATGTGTCCTGTTGGGCACATGGCTGAGTGAGCAGAAGCCAGAGTGGCAATGGGTCAGATGCAGCCTTGGGCAACTTACCCTGGCTTCCTGTGCTCTCCAGATTTCTGACAGAAAAGGACTTTTATTTGCTTTATTTACTCTGTGTCTACTTTTCCTGAATTCCTCTGATACAATTATGTTGTACACACTGGCTGTCATGATTTTAGGAAAAATTTTGTTAGAATGTACCAAAGTGATCGGCTCCAATGAGATTTCCCAAGAGCCTCAGGGTCACAGGAAGGAGAGATGGTGTATGTTCTGCAGAAGACACGGTGTCCATGAACTGCCTCGGCCTTGAATCAGAATCGCCTCCCGGGAGACTCAGCACACAGCTCCTGGAAAAAACTTCCAACAAATACAAGGCGGAGAGCGAGTGCCGTCATCATAGCACTCTGAGGTGGGACATCCCGTGTTCTCTTCATGGGAAACAGACCTGTCATGAGGCTAAGTCCTTACAGTGCTAATGCCTGGATGTGGGCATGATCCCTGTTCTAACTCTTCAGCTTTGAACCTTAAGTTCCACATCGTAAGCCTGGGTGGTGAGGACTGCCTGTAGTCTCGGGGCCCAGGAGTACCACAGGTTCCAGGCCAGCCTGAGCTGAATGGGGAGACTTTGTTACGACTGGTGCAACCCACAAACAGGGCATTTGGGTCACGTCTGTTCATTCCACAAGCCAGTGGGTTACCTCTCCCCGCGATGTCCATGAAAGTGATGACTCCTCGTGGGTCAGTGGAGTGATTTAACCTCTGGGGAAATGTGTCCTGCTGAGCATATGGCTGAGTGAGAAGAAAGACATCGGTCCTGGAGGCTAGCTGAGCTGCATCGGGACACAAAGACAGAAGGCCTCTGGAGCTGCACCCCATCCTGACTCACAAGCCCACATGGCTCCATGGGAGGCAAGAATTGGAAGAGATGAGGGAGATAGAGGACACAGGAGGCCACGGGGCAAATGAAGCTGCAAGTCTACCCTGAAGGAAAACATTTAATTGGGGCTGGCTTACAGTTTCAGAGGTTCAGTCCATTATCAGCATGGTGGGAAGCGTGTCAATCAATGCACAGACAGACACGGTGCTGGAGAAGCTGAGAGTTCTACATCTGGATCTGCAGGCAGCAGGAGGTGTCTGTGTCACTAGGCCTAGCTTGAGCGTAGATGACCTCAAAGCCCACCTCCACAGTGACACACTTCCTCCAATAAGGCCACACCTCCAAATAGTGCTACTCTCTGTGGACCAAGCATTCAGATGCATGAGTCAGTGGGGGTCATTCCTACTCAAACCACCACAGAGGATAAAAGGTGAGACATGTTTATGAATACGACCTGTGACCATACAGTCTTGTCTACTGATCAACATGACTCCATGGTTAACAGTAGGCAGGGCTGGGAAGATGGCTGATCAGTGGTTAACTGTAGGCAGGGCCAGGGAGATGACTCAGTGGTTAGCAGTAGGGCACTGCTCTTCTTGAAGACCAGGGTTTGATTCCCAGCATCCACATTAGCTGTAATTCCAGATCCTGAAGGGTCCGGTTAGAGAAGAGTCTTGGGGTCATGTTGTAATAAGGGAGCGGCGGGGCTGCGTCCCCGGCACCCCGGCCGCCTGGCTAGCTTATGCCCCGAAATAACAACACACAAACTGTATTCTTTTAAACACTGCCTGGCCTATTAGTTTCAGCCTCTTAACCCATTTCTAATAATCTATGTAGCACCAGTCTTACCAGGAAAGATTCAGCATGTCTGACCTGGTGGCTTGCTTCATCGCGTGCGTCTACCCGGGAGAGGGGAGCATGGCCTCTCTCTGAGGCTGAGGCATCTGCCCCTGAGCGCTGTCGAGTCTGAGCTCACTTTCTCTTCCTCTCAGCATTCTGTTCTGTTTACTCCTCCCACCTATGTTTTAACCTATGAGGCCAGGCAGTTTCTTTATTACTTAACCAATGACCTTCCTCCATCAGGGTCAGCATGGAACACACCCAGACATCAATTTTTCAGTACCCTGGACAGACAAGCAGGGGTGTAGGGCACAGCCTCTGAATCAGGCAAACGCAGCAGAGGGTGTTTTTGCAGGACTAGGTTAGGGAGAAAAGATTGAATCTGTGCTGGGGTGAGTTGGTAAAGTCCTGGTGGGACAGGTGAGCTAGTGTAGCCAAATAATGCATTTTGACTGCTGGACCTTGGTGTTTTAGTCAGGCGTAAGGAAGTAGCCAAATAAGGGCAAAGACCTTGATGGCTAACTTTAGGATGTAATCTAACGGTTTAGCAAGGGAGAGGGCAAGACCTGGCGGTACCGTGTTTGCATGCTTGGGCCTGCTACCCCTTCACTGACGGTACCTCTGGTCTGTACAGATACCTGTACTCATATGCATATACCTACACAAACAAACACGCATATACATGATTAAAATAGTAATGAGAAGCCAGGCATATTGGCACACACTTAATCCCAGCACTCGGGAGGCAGAGGCAGGCAGATCTCTGTGAGTTCAAGGGCAGCCTGGTCTACAAAGTGAGTTCCAGGACAGCCAGGCCTGTTACACAGAGAAACCCTGTCTCAAAAAAAAAAAAAAAAAAGAAAGAAAATAAAAACAATGAACACTAAAAATAATTTTATTTAAAAAATAATCAGATACTTCTTCCAAGGTGGAGTTTTCTGTGTTCTCACCAACCAATCTGGAGCCAGGTGCATCAGTTAGCCACCTTGAGAAGGCGATATCAAGACAGAGGAGGATATGCAACAGGTTTGGGGGTCTGGGAAGGCACTGTGAGGCAGAGAAGCTGGAAGTGGTGGCCCTGTGAAGGAGAGAGCGAAGAGACGGAGTAGGAATTGTAGGCTTCTGTGCAAGAGAGATTCAGCTAGGCTGAACGGGAGTGTTGAGCCCCTGAGAGGAACTCCCATCTCTCTCTGTAACCAGTCTGCATTCTTATCTTTTATGTGGGTCTCAGTGCCTGGCCGGGAACAGCCCGTGCAGAGCTTGGCCTTGGCAGGATGCGGCGCTGAATTCCGAGTGCAGCAGTCAGGGATGTGTGTGGACTGAACTCACTAAAGAGAGACGGCTGAGTCACTAGTGTTGTGGTCACAAATCCTGTATGGGAGACAGTCTGGATGGTCAAGGATCCAGGGCTCTAATCACACACCATGAGTACCAGACTTAAGGTACAAATGAGTGAACCCCAGCACTGTGTCTGCTGCAGGCTAACTGCCAGGGTGGCTGCTGGCTACATCACAGTGTCCCCTTTATGAGGAACCAAGAGAAACAGCTCCTGTGGCCAAGAGTCAGGCAAAGCTATTTCTCCTGGACAGCCGGTGAGTGCTCTCCCTGTGGACACGTGGGTTTTCTGGCTGACTTCCTGTAGTTGTTACTACATGGATGCTAAGACCTTGGTTTGGAGTCTACCTCTAACCTCAGGAACTTTTCTTTTCCAACTATCACCCTTTATCTTCCCGATATCCTTAGTGCACACTGCTGTTCTCTGTGACCCATCTAGGCTCCTTGCTGAAATACAGCCAGAAATGACCACCTTACCCAAGCTGTTACCACTTAAACCCACATTTTTAAATACTTCAGTTTATTCTATAAAAGCTTGAGATTCTCTGGATTGCAAACAATGTTGTCTCATAGAGATCAGATTTAAGCTTCATATAAGCCACACAACAACTACCTGTAAGTTATATGTAAGCTACACAAAAGCTGTAAATTACATGAAAGTCATGGTCAGAAGAGTCTTTAACCTGTCTTTATTAATCGCTTGGCTAAAAAAAAAATTGTAGCTCCTGGATACCTCTGATGCAAGCCTTACTTCTAAATGGAAGGCTATGTTCTACTAACTGCTGTAATGATAGTGAGGCCTGGAAGAGTTCAGAGAGAGAGAGAGAGTGTGTGTGTGTGTGTGTGTGTGAGAGAGAGAGAGAGGGGGGGGGGGAGCACTGTGCCCACAGAGTCCATAAGAGGGCGTCAGACCCCCTGGAGCTGGATACAGGCAGTTGAGAGCTGTCCCTCATGGGTTCTGGGAAAGAAACCGTAGTCCTGTGAAAGGAGAGCAAGCCTGTGCCATCTCTCCAGCCCCAGATTTCAAGGAATTTTAAAAGCTTCTGTGTTACTTTTTCTTCTCTGGCCTACCTACCCTTGGGTCCATCTGAGAAACCATGCACTATAGAGTGGTAATGTACATTCAGTAAGAAAAAAGAAGAAACATGCATTTTGCATATCCTGTGCTTCTTATAGAGACTGCTTTGTCGACTACTTACTGTATTGGGGCATATATGTCTTGCATCAGGTCCCCAAAAATTATTCTAGAACGAAGTCGATAGGCTTGGGCCACAGAGAGATTAATAATACCTAAATTTTATTTTTAGTCTACTACTTTGGTCTAGAAAGCCTGTCTAGGTGATGCATAGAAGAGCCAACTCCCCACTGTCCGCCGATGTTTGTGCATGGTTCCTCTTTACTTCACCTAGTACCAGGCACCTGTCCCGCTCAGAACCTGCCCTGGACCAGGAGGCCCCGCCAAGGAGAGGTCGGGCAGGTTTTGTAGCTTATTCGTTCCACGCACACCTGACTCAGCTAGAGGCCAGATCGTGACACCCGGGACAAACGAGATTAAGTCTGCAGCATCCGAATCACCTGGAGCTTGTTAGAATTGCGGATTCCCAGGGGGCACCCACACACGTTCTGCGGGAACCCTGGTGGGTAGGGTTGACGGAGGGCAACCGGAGAAAGAGCGGCGCGGCCCCCGAGAGCCACGAGTCGAGACCGCGGGGGGCGCGTTTCTCGCCTGCACCCGGAAGTTGCCCCGGCCGGCGCCTCGGCCAGGACGGACCGCGGCTGCCCGCAGTGGGCTCCCGCCCGCCTGCTGCCCCCGGCGCAGCGATCGGGGCGGGCGGGCTGCACGCGCGGTCACGTGGCGGCGGCGCGCGTAGCTAAATACGCGGCGCCGGCCATTTTGTGCGAGAAGCCGCAGCGCCGCCTCCCTGCTCGCGCTCCGCTGCCGCCGCCGCCTCCTCCTCTGCGTCCTCCTGCGCACCGGGCTTCCGCCGCTTCATTGATTTCCGTTTCTCGCCGCTGCAGCCTCCTGACACGGTGATCCGGGCGGGCCCCGCAGGAATTTTATCCCCTCACCGGCCTCACACTAGTGTCGCATGTCCACTATCCAGAACCTCCAATCTTTCGGTAAGGTCCAGTCACCGGCCGCCGCCCGCGTCCCGCTGGGCTTTGTCTCGGCGCCCAGAAGATGGCGACGGGGCTCCCAGAGACCCTGGCTACGGGGACGGCTCCCTCCCGGCCTCAGACCCGGCCTTGTCTGGCTCTGCCAGCCACAGGAGGCCAAGGGTCCGGCCGGGGGCTTGGGGAACTTGACGCAGGCCCGAGGACGTGGGCCTCGGGGACTCACAAGGTTGGGGGACATGCTGGGGCCGCAGAGAGACCAGCCAGAGGCGGGGAGACTTGACACTGAACGGGAGGCCGGGGGCTTCGGAGACTTAGAGGAGGATGGAGTACTGCAGGCTTGCAGAGACGAGGGTTTGCCAGGAACCTGACACTGGCGAGGGAGGCAGGGACTCACTTGGGGCCTCGGGGCTGGCCAGGGCTCTAAGGAGACTGGAGGGTGGGGCTCAGAAGCTGGGGAGCTTGACAGCTTTCAGGCTGCTGGGGGACCCGTGACTCTCAGAGGACTCACAAGTGGGGGGGGGGAGGCTCAGCCCTTGCTGGGAGACTAGGGACCCTCAAGGGTTAGGAGATCTAAGACTCCAGTCAGCAAGGAAGATAAGGATCAGGGTGGGGGGTGGGGTGCCTGAGGGACCAGCAACTGGCAGGAACTGGGGGCAGAGCTGGCCCCAGCTGGTTTTGAGCAGCCCTCAGGTGGCTGATGAAGCTGCGTAGATACAGGCCTCTGATTTGGGTGGAAGTTGTCTTGTTATCTCTGCTTGCCATAAGTTGTTGCTCACACCTCTTGAGAGAGCATGTCTGTATATGTTTATTTTGCTAGGCTCAGTTCCTATGTTAACTGATTGGGGTGGGTGGTTTTGAATGTGTCTGTTGTCGGAATATAATGGAGATGCCAGATGACGCACGTTCTTGTGGTGGCTATATGAAATTAGGTTTTCATAAACGTCTTTTGTCTCATTGGAGGGTGCCTTCAACAGTGGCGTTGTCTTTTTAAGCTTGAATATTGGCACACACAGCAGGCTTAGGCCTTTCTCGTTTGGAAGACTTAGTATTCCAGTGAGCCCATCCTTCCCTGCAGAAATGAAGCCACAGCCCTGGACCCACGGCCGCAGCCATCTAGATCTGTAGGGACCATCTTCCTACATAGTGCTTCCTAATTTTTTTTTTCCTGCTGTGGATTTTTTTCCTGTCCCTCTGCAGACCCCTTTGCTGATGCAACTAAGGGTGACGACTTACTCCCGGCAGGGACTGAGGACTACATTCATATAAGAATCCAGCAGCGGAACGGCAGGAAGACGCTGACCACTGTGCAGGGCATTGCGGACGATTATGACAAAAAGAAACTTGTGAAAGCCTTCAAAAAGGTGATGACGTCAGGAGCAGGTGGCTACTAGTGCATAGGTCCAGGGAAGCTGCTTTGTTCTCCATCTCAGACTGGGGCTTACCTGGCTCCTACACTGAAGTGTGAGCCGTGTAGTTGCTGCTGTCTGCCCTAATAGAATCCTTCGTGTGGCTCCAGATTCATTTGCATAGACACTGGGTTCTGGAGGGCGGGAGTCCTAGAGGGCACTGCTCTGTGGAGCAGTCACCCCAGCTGGAGCAGTGACATTTGTCCTGGGAATGTAAAACCTTTGTGCATTTGACTTTGTGTGTCGTAGAAATTTGCCTGTAATGGTACTGTGATTGAACATCCCGAGTACGGAGAGGTTATTCAGCTGCAAGGTGACCAAAGGAAGAACATTTGCCAGTTTCTTTTGGAGGTGAGTGACTGGGTGCTGTGTGTGACCTTGAGGTTGCTTCTAAGAACTAACATTTTAAAGAGACAGCACTCCTTTCCTGCTCAGTAAAAAGCACACAACTGGAGTAAGCGGAGTGACGGAGACAGGTAGGGGCAGTACTGGCTGGGAACGATATGGCCTGTGAGGCTCAGTGGCCTGGAGATGGCTCGTGCGCAGGTGTGCAGGGGTGTGTGGGCTGTCAGCTGTTGGTGGCTTGTGGTGTGGGGCTGTCGCTGCAACTTGCTGGCTGCTGTTGTGATCCTGCTGAGCATAGTTTTACTTACAGGTTGGCATCGTCAAGGAGGAGCAGCTGAAGGTTCACGGATTCTAAGATGAACCCAAACGTGTGGCGAGTTTCTTAACTGGTTTTGTTCCCTCAACCCGGTTTGGCTGCCTCGGGAGATGACTCTCCTCAGTAAACGACGGACTTTGCATTTATTTAATCATTCAAACTCGCACTCACACCTGCGTGCCTGCAGGAAACACGGGGTATGTAGGCTCCTGAGTCATAAGAAAATCGCAGTCAGGTGGGAACAAAGCCCGAGTTCATCCTAACATGTTTCCAATGGAAAAGATTTTGTTTTGAGTGTTTATTGTTCAGTTTATTTTCACTTAATTATTACATGTTTTTGTTGTTGTTGTCGTTGTATTAAACCGTGTATGTTGCAGCTTAACAATAAAAAGGAGAGTCTGAGTCCTTTTGTGAGCTCCCATGCTCCCACATCTCAGCCAGTTCCTCACGGTTGTGTTTTCACTTGCTGGTTCAGGATAAGGAGGGTCGTGAACTGTCACTTGTCCCTGAAACCTCAGCTGCAGATTGTCAACAGGTAGAGAGCACTGTTACAGCTGCCCCGATGATTGCCCATCCCGAAGAGACGCCTGTCTCAGCACTGCCTTGTGGGTGTGGGTGGTGCTGCCTACTATCTTCAGGGTGGGTGGTTGGGCTTTGGGTTAGCACTCCTAGAGTGCTGGATAGTGACAGAGTTGAGGGCCAGCCAGGCAGCCATACTTCTGCTCTGCACCCAAGGACGTGATTGGACCAGGGGTGGTAGTGGGCAGCTCTTCATCCTGCGTCCTGGTGTCTTGTCAAACAGTGATTTTTGTTTGGCAGAAAAATTATGCCATTGAGCCAAAGCAGAGAAAAGCATTGTAGTGTGTCCTGCGTAGTGCAGTGGGGTGGCTGTGTCTCAGTGTCAGTCCCTGCACCTGACCAGCCCTGCGCCCCGCCTCCTGTGAGCGACTGGACCAGAGTATGTAAGGCTGTCCTGAAATTCAGTATGTAACCAGCTGCCTTTGCCTTATCTTGTAACTGATTTTTTTTAAGCCAGCCCCCTGAGTTCTGCGATTAAAGGCATGAGTAACCATGCCCAGCGTTTCCCAGCCTTGTAAGAACTGTCCTGCAAGTGGTAATGGCGCATGCCTTTAACCCAGCACTTAGGAGGTAGAAGCAGGTGAATCTCTGAGTTTGAAGCCAGCTTGGTGTACAGAGTGAGTTCCAGGACAGTCAGGGCTACACAGAGAAACCCCATCTTGGGTTAAGGGGGTGGGGGGGGGACCCTGTCCCCCAGCTTCTCTGTCTTACTGTTGTCTGATTCTCCCTACGGCTGAGGACTGTAAACCAACAGCCTCAGCTTGCAGCAGAGCCCTGTGTGAGCGCATTTGCTGAGCAAGCACCTAGAAGATTGGCTTGTATTAAGCCAAGGCAAGCCTCCAAGCTGGGAAGAAAACGACACCTGACTGGTCTCAACTGAGAGCAGCTGGGCTGTTAAAGGGCCGCCTGTTCCCTCCTGAGAAGTATGACCTATCTTTGGATTTCCTTGGTGTCTGTTTTCATGCCTAACCGCCCCCCCCCCCCCCGCTTTTGTTTCTCACTTGTCTTTTGCACGGTGTTTGCAGGTTTACAGAACCAGTCACAGGATAAGTGGTGACCCGGTCAAAACAGCCAGAGAGCCAGGCCTCATTGCCTCAGCTCGACAGAGACCAAAGGAAGTGAGGGCTCCCCAGGCTCAGTCTTCCTGTGGAAAAATAACCAGCTGCATTCTGTCTGGTGCTTTATGCTTCAGGGTACAAAACAGTAGTAACAGGTAAATAAATTTGTCCCTGGGCTTTCAGGCTTGATAGAGATCCTAGGAAAACCATAACGAAAGGAGAACTTTGAGGCCCAGTCTAGAGTAGACAGGTCCCTTGGCCTGTCAACCTGGCACTCTGGAGGCCAAGGCAGCAGCCTGCCCTGCCTACTAAGGGACTTCATACTGACGGGCTGTTCTCATAAGAGGGGGCGGTGTCCGACAGAGAAGGAACAGTTCCATCCCAGCCATGATGGCAGTTCCCCAAAGAACTGGAGACACTGGGGGTACATCTTGTGTGTCACCAGCTGGCCTCCAGCTGAAGGAACGAGTGGGTGCCTACAGCCCAGGAGACGTCTGCTCACCAAGCACGCTCCACAGGCATCCTAGTAAGTGAAGGGCAGTGTTCACTGGCAGTCTGTGGGTAGACCCTGCTTATCAGGACACACGGAGTGGGGCAAAAGCGATGCCTGAAGGGTTGGCACCCGTGCCGGCAGCTGCCACACTGCCCTTGGGTGCTCTAAATCCCAGGCACTAAATGACATGCCTGTGGGGATCAAAATGGTGAATTATATTCAGCATGAGTCAAACAGGCGGATTGCTGTGGCCCATAGCTCTGCTCTTGGCCGCCAACAGCACCAGCTTGAGTCTCCTGCCTCATCCTAAACTAGCGAACAGACTTCGCACAAGAAGCAATCCCAGATCTCGGTGTGGTGACATGCTTGGAGCTCCAGCACTTGGAAGGTAGAAACGGGATCAAGAGTCTAAGGCCAGCCCGGGCATCTGGAGACCCTGTCTCAAACAGCAATTACAGAGAGCTGTGTCATTGTGTTACGGTACCAAGAGTCTAAAGTGAGTGTCTAGGTGCTGACAGACTTCATGCAGGGCTCCGTTGTGACCTAGAAAGAACACAGAAGGGTCTCCGGGTCTCATTGTCATAGAAGGAAGCTGGTTTTAATGCTAGTTTGCTCTCACATATTCTCCCTGAAAGCGGCCCTTGAAGCCTACCGGGCAAGACATGCAGTCTGGGGAGCAGAGATACGATTCTCAGTCCATGCTAGCCATGACTGTGTGAACTTATCTGGAAGGAGACAGTATCCCGTGAAGTCAGAAAAGGCCCTCAGTCCCTGGTCACCAGCATCCAGTCCGAATGAATTCATGTCATTGACTGGTTAGAAGCTGGGGGAGTTGACTCACATCGGGAAAGAACAGTGTGAGCACTATTGGCATTGCTACCCACTTGGGAGGCCACGGGTGTTAAACTGGGAAGGTTAGGTACCAGGGACAGATGCAGTTAAATGCAGGAGATGCTTATAGCGAGTAGTGAGCCATCAGCACCCTCTCGTGGGCACCTAGAGAATCGTGACTCTTGGCATGTGCACAAAGCCAGGACTTCTGTTGTCGGCCAGTGCTCGTGGTTGTTACACACTGACCTCAGCCAGTCCTTTTCCACAGTCCATAAAAACAATTTGAACTTGCTGTCACTTTGGAGAAACCGTAGTGTTTACACAGCCTTACCTGGGGGCCTACAGTCACGGCGCATGCTCGTAGGAAGTGAATGCTGTGTCAACAGAGACTTGTTTATCTCCTCTAGTGACTGAGGCTTCTGATTTGTCAGTAGTGAATAGATAGACCCTAATATAGTGCGCCCCAACTTAACCCTGAGCAGTTTGACACCCTGAACAGCGCCCCCCATTCAGACCTGTCAGGCCAACACAGGCTAACGTGTGCTGTCTGAGCACACCCACATAGGGCATTACCTGAAGGATTTGTCTGGGAATCTGACAGGATACCCTTAAACCAAAGACCATAATACTCATGGCCTTCCATTTAACACAAATCAGGAACCAGAAAGATGGCTCTGTGGATAAAGGCACTTGGCTGCTGAGCCCGACAGCCTGAGTTCAGTCCCTGGAACCCACATGGTAGAACAGCATCAAGTCCTCCAGTTCTGCACATGCCTCCAGTAAGTAAATAAATGTGTGTGTGCATACATAATGTACTCATACAAACACATACACGCATACATATATACATACACACACACATATATATGAACATGGAGACCTCTGGAATCCCAGCGAAAATCGGGCTCCTCCTGGAAATGATACTCGAGGTGCTGGTTTCACTGGAGCCAGCAGTGGCAAGGTGACCCTGTTTCAGGAGCCCCCCTGGGGAATCTTAAAAACATTACTAAAGTAGTAACCCTAACCACAGACCCTTGGAGCATCCACACAATTTGAGCAGGCACTGGTCCTCGCTGATGAGATTTCAGCATTCACCCTCTCTCTTGTCCAGCCCCACTAGCATCCATTCCCATCATCGTCTACACGCATCGTGGCCGCAGAGATCCACAGTTACACCCTTGCAGGTGCTCCTCCCACCCTTTGCATTCACGCCTAGGTCCTGGGTTTGTGTCTCAACACGGCCTGCACCTGCAATCCCAGCGTTCAGGAGGAGAAGGCAGGAGGATCAGGAGTTCAAGGTTATACTCCACTACATAGTGAGTTCAAAGCCAGCCTGGCATACACAAGAAAGACCCCGTGCAAAGAAAACCCCGACTCAGTTCCACTTTGCTGCTTAATACTGGTCTGTATGAGCTAAGGGCAGCTGGAGACAGCCTCAGTCACCTTCTCCCTTCAGCCCGTGCCCTGTTGTGCCTTAGAGACATGGAGTCAATCCTGCTGAGGTACATAAATGATGGAGGAAGGTCATTGGCTAATAAAGGAACTGCCTTGGCCCATTTTATTGGTTAGAAGATAGGTGGGAGGAGTAAACAGAACAGAACGCTGGGAGGAAGAGGAAGTGAGCTCAGACTCGACAGCTCTCCTCTCTGGAGCAGACACCTCAGAGAGATGCCATGCCCCGCTCCCAGGCAGACGCATGCTATGAAGCTCCGACCCAGGATGGACATAGGCTAGAATCTTCCCTGTAAGACCAGTGCTACAGTTTATTAGAAATGGGTTGATCGGGATATCAGAATTAGCCAGTAAGGGCTAGATAGAAATGGGCCAAGCAATGATTAAAAGAATACAGTTTCCGTGTAATTATTTTGGGTAAAGCTAGCCGTGGGGGCGGCCGGGTGCCAGGGACGCAGCCCCGCCGCCCTTATTACTTACATAAACCTCATTCTTCTATTCAGATCCACTCCAGAATAATATCTTGTCCCCACCAGTACGAGACCCCATTTGTGTCCTGGGTGCCCTCCCCCACTCTCCAGCCATGCCCTCTATCTGAGCCATCAGTTTCCCCACAGCACAGGACAGGGACATCTTTGCCAACGTAAGAAAAAGCAAACCTCACTTGACCTCGCATTCCCTGTTGAGGCCACCCACTGGACCTCCATTTGGATATGTATCAGGAACTTCAGAATTAACGTGATGGGCTGTAGAGATGCCTAATAGGTAAAACACTCACTGCACAAGTATTAGGACCAGAATCAGATCCCTACAAATACCCGTGTAGATGCGGGGTAGGAGTGTTGCCCACCTTTAATCCCAGCATTCAGGAGGCAGAGATGGGAGATCCCTGGAGCAAACTGGCTGCCTAGACCAAGGAGCGCTGTGTTTAGGGAGAGACCCCACCTCAGTGTAGATAAGATAAAGAGCAATCAAGGCAGATGCCTCTTGTCACCCTCTGGCCTCCGCATGCATGCACACACA